TTCTGTGTACTTTCAGTATTTAGTCATGCCGGCCATATGACCATAGAGTCGTCTTCAGATAGTGCTGGCTCTTCCGTGACCCGACAAAAGCGCGAACGTCATAAGCGCGCCGACAAAACCACGGCGCTAAAACCGCGATGTCAAAAGCGCGCCGACAAAACCGCGCGACGAATGAGCCCTGAAGCGCGCCGACAACAGAAGCGCGCTGTAACCTAACCCTAAACCTAACCCTAATCTAACCCTAACCTAACCCTAAATCTAACCCTAAACCTAACCCTCACCTAACCCTAAACCTAACCCTAATCTAACCCTAACCTAACCCTAAATCTAACCCTAAACCTAACCCTAAACCTTACCTTAACTTAAATCGCGCTGCTGTCGGCACGCTGTTGTCGGCGCGCTTTTGACATCGCGGTTTTAGCGCCGCGGTTTTGTCGGCGCGCTTATGACGTTCGCGCTTTTGTCGGGTCACGGAATGCTCTACCTGACTCCGTTGTTACATCCACAACCCCCCCACAGCTTCAACCTCAAACTGTCTACCGTGGACCTCACCCCATTCCTAAGAGGTCCGTAACCGGGGCGTGCATAAGCTGCACCAGTGTGCCTACTGTCCCCGTCCTACTGTCCCCATTTATTTGCACCCATTTCCTGTGTTCCAATTTATGTTCATACCGATACCTGTTATCTTTTTCATGTTTAACAAACGAAATAAAATAAACAAATAGAATATTCCGCAGATTAACCCACTCTTTTACCCGCAAAAGTGCCGATGCTTGGTAATTCCCAAGGCTAATGATACCTGTCATCCTTTACACGTTTGACAATTTTTTAAAAATAATAAAACATGAATCCGGACAAACTCAGGGAGATAGTGGAGGGGACAGGTGCTTTAGGGACCCCCAGATCGCGAGGAGTCGAACCCAACTTAGCGACCGAAAAACAACACAAATAACATTTTATCTGTAGCTAGGAGATCTTCACCCAATTCGGCAGGGAAGGGCACCAAAGCAGGGGCCGGCCAGCCAGCCAATGCCGCTTCCCGCAGCTGTTTCACGCATTCCAAGATTGGTCTTGGATTAGACACACCAGACAAGATTAGGGAGCTCCCTTGTAGAGTTAAGGAGCGGGAGAATATGAGGAGCGGGAAAGAAAAAAGAAAATATTTGACTGCAGGGCTGTGCAGAGAGAAGGAAGAGGAGGAGGCAGCTTTAGCCTTAAATTAGAAAACAACACTTGAGATATTGGTTCCGCTTTTTAGAACCACCAACTTCACAGCGGTGGGAGAGCTGGTTGAAAAGAAAAACGGAGCAGATGAATTCTGGTGCCACCTCATGGCCGAAAACTGGACATTTCTGATCAAAACTGAAGAGGGCTTTTGAGTCGGCCATCCAAACATTGATTCCAGCCAGAGGTTTTTGGGGGGGTGAACCAGGGAAAAAAAAAATCCCTTAGGTGTCAGTCACTTGAGTATTCTTGCCATAAGAAAACAAGGTTGACCTGAAATGATTGGAGAAAGATTGGTTGTTTTTTTTAAAGAACAAAATAAAGACCTTAATTGGGTCAAATTCACACAATTGCTCTGTGGCCCTTTCTACACAAGTGGAAAATTCCCTTCAAAGTTTACCTTTGCGCAAGGGTATCGCAATAGTGGCCTTTCCATAGCGACGGTCCTATAAGGTATATCAACATCAGCTGTTGGCTCAGTGGCTAAGACATTGAGCTCGTTGATCAGAAAGGTCGGCAGTTCGGCGGTTCGAATCCCTAGCGACGCGTAACGGAGCTGGGACTAGTAACGGAGCTCCTGTTCCTTGTCCCAGCTTCTGCCAACCTAGCAGTTTGAAAGCAGGTAAAAAATGCAAGTAGAAAAATAGGAACCCCTTTGGTGGGAAGGGAACAGCATTCCGTGCGCCTTCAGCATTGAGTCATGCCAGCCACATGACCACGGAGACGTCTTCGGACAGCGCTAGCTCTTCGGTTTTGAAACAGAGATGAGCACCGCCCCCTGCAGTCTGGAACGACTAGCACACCTGTGCAAGGGGAACCTTTTTACCTTTACCTTTACGAGTGAAATGCACCTTTGCCCCAGCAGATTATAAGTGTTATCTATATAATTTATCGCAATTTATCTATTCCGTGCTGTTTTAACTAAATTGCATCATTCCTTGGACTAAGTGCAAGTTCCTTTATTAGTACTAAAATTGTGGGGNTTTTCACATCCAGGGAAATATAACATTCTGCCTTCTTAATATTTCCCAGGATATTTCAGTTTTCTAGCAGAAGGGTGGGTTTTAACTTCCTACAGTGGCCCAAATAGGTTGTTTAAAAATATATATATATTTCCACAGCTTCATTTCATTCTTTTTCCTTTTGCCAGGCCCTCCTGCTGCTCTTTGGGATGAATTTATTGGAATTAAAAATGTGGCAGGAATGGACATTCAGCTGTTTTGGCGGAGATTTTGACACTCCTCGACGACCCACTTCGGTGGGGGAAGGTGGTGGTGTTGGACTAAATGACTTACAAGGTCCCTTCCAACTGTGTCATTCCTGTTATTTCTTCTGGCAGTTACAGATTCTCCACAGCGCCCATTTTTAAGGCAAATCATTTTTCCTCATGTCCTTCAGATCTTAGCTTGTTGTTGATTTTCAGAGCCTTCGGGTGTTTCCTTTCCTTAAAACTTCGACGTTGGCAGACATATTTTTATTCCCGCGCCACGTTCTGTGAGGGAAAGGGACTCCATAACCCATCTCTCCTCCTCCCATCATCCTGAGCCCTCCCAGCCCGCCTTTCCCAGTGAAGCCGGCGCGGGCAAGCCTGTGGCGGGACAAGCCGCCGCCTTCAAGCTTCAGCCGCGAACGGAGCATGCGCGGATCCTTTTGCTCGGCCAGGACGCGTTGCATGCTGGGAAGGGGATGGGAGCGGGGGCGGGGCTGGCTTCTCCAGGGCTTCGCGGTCCTCCAACCGAGCCGCCAAGGGGGGAGTTTTGCGGGGAGGGGGCGCTGCCTGGTGAGTGAGAGGGACGGGACTCTTTTTAGGGGAAATCCTGCTGGGATTGCAAAGATCTTTTGCAAAAGCCCCCCCGCCCAGCTTCAATCTTTAGAATCCTGGCGCGGGGGTGGGGGTGGGGGGGGAGTCCCTGGCCCCATGTTCCCCTGCCGCCCTTTGCATGCACATGCCAAGCAGTAGTGGAAGCAGAGCACTAAGCCAACTGTGTTGCCCCCTCTCCCCCAGGATCTCCAGCAAGGAGGATCTGGGGGAGCCCTGCAAACCCCCTGAGTGGGGGGCGAAGGAGTTGCTTGCATTGCAACACCCAAGCTGGGAAATGAGGTTCTCCATGAAGGGAGATGCCAGTTGTGGTTGCTTAGGTGTATTTGCGCAGTCCGCTCGGTGAGCGTGAATCAATTGTGCTTCAGAATCCATCCATGGTCTTAGGAGGTTGATTGGCCCAGCACATCACATTCAGACAATGTTGGTCAACCTGAATGGATGAGAGCTTGTTAAAAGAGAAAGCCAGTTTAGAAGGGAGGAGATGTTTCCTGACAGCGGCAGCAATTAATCTGTGGAATAGCTTGCCTCCTGGAAGTGTAGGTGCACCATCACTGGAAGTTTTCAAGAATAGACTGAACCCCCATTTGATTGGGATGGTATAGGACTGTGGTGGCCAACCTATGGCATGCATGCCACGGGTTGCACACAAATCCCTCTCTGCGGGCACGTGAGCTGTCGCCCAGCTCAGCTCCACTGCGCATGTGCGCGCACCTCCCGCTGACCAGCTTATTTTTGAGTCTCTTGCATATGCGGGAAACACGTACATTTGGGGGGGGTGTTGTGCGTGCATGCATGCACGAGAGGGTCACGTGTGCATGTGGGGAGGCGGGGGGCATGAGTACATGGGGGAGAGGGGTGCAGTGCAGGGCCCATAATGCAATGCACCCCCCCAGGACATGCGTGTATGCTCCCCATGTGATTCCCTCCCCACGCCCCATTTTTGATCCCAAGAGGCTTCAGGGAGCCCCGCTAGGCCCAAAACAGGGCGCGGGAAGGGAATCACATGCAAGCACAGAGGAATGCGGGAAGGTGGGGTGCATTGCATTATGGGTGTGGGCATGGGCGCTGTTTCGGCACACAAGGAGAAAAAGGTTAGCCATCACTGGTATAGGATCTCCTGCCTTGAGCAGAGGGTTGGACTAGAAGACCTCTGAGGTCCCTCCCAGCCCTATGATTCTATGTTCCGTGGATCTCAACTGCCAAAATTCTCCAGTGAGCATGGGTGGACTTAAACTCCCAGAATTCCTCCGTCAACATGCATGAATTCCCAGGATTCTGGGAATTGAAGTTTACACACTTTAAAGAGGCTGCGGTTAAGAAACACTGCATTAATCTGCAACCTTGATTTCTTTGGCTTTCCGTGTTAAGCAAAACTGGGTGTTACAGTTTGCTCCCCTCATTTTAGGTACATTAAGGTTAACATTGCCTCTGTCAAAAATGCACGAATGCACATTTATGATCCAAAATGTTGTCCGGAATATTTTGTTGGCTGTCAGGAAAAAAATAAATCCATAAATATATAAATCCTAAAAGATCTAAAAGGCTTGATATTTTGAGTTTTCTATGGAAAACCCATTTTGCTTTTCTCGTATCATAAGTATTGCCATTTGCATAGTCCCAGTATTCCCACCCACCCCAAACATCTCCCTGCTTAAGGGGGTGGGGGTGGGGGAACCTTGATTATGTTTTTAAAAAAAATCTGATGATGGTTTTTGTTCCACTTCAGATACACTGGGCCCATTTAGACAACAGTTAGAAAACGGAGGCCCAATATCCAGCAAGCGAGGGAGCTGGAAAAGGAAGCTGTGAGGAGATTAGAGCAGGAAGTGCACATATGATGATGGAAGAGAAGACCATGGGTTCGGAGGTCCAGCATTGGCACTTCAGGAATATCCACTACGAGGAGGCTAAGGGCCCCCGAGAGATTTGCAGTTATCTCCATCACTTTTGCCGTGGGTGGCTGAAGCCAGAAAGATACACAAAGGCCCAGATGCTGGACCTGGTTGTTCTGGAGCAGCTCCTGGCTATCCTTCCCCCAGAGATGGAGGGCTGGGTGCGAGAGTGTGGAGCAGAGACCAGCTCCCAGGCGGTGGCTCTGGCGGAAGGCTTCCTCCTGAGCCAAGCAGAGGAGCAGAAGGGGCAGGTCGAGTTGCAGGTGAGAGAATCTTAACTCTGGCATTCTAAAGAGGACACAACGTAATAAACAATTTCAACCTTTTGTTTGAATTTTGGATTCTTGAACCCTTTCCTATCGGAACTTTCTGGCATTATAACAGCATTCAAGAGTTGCCTAATGTTTTAGACAGATTTGTCCAATGCTCTTTCTAGACTAGAGCTTTTAGGGCAATTTAGGGGAATTATTTTATTGCAGGATCCAATCTGGGTCGGTCACCGGGACTAGAGGTTTTGTCTCCCATGAAGGGATGTGGTGGCTCAGTGGCTAAGACATTGAGCTTGTTGATCAGAAAGGTCTGCAGTTCGGCGGTTCAAATCCCTAGCGCCACGTAACGGAGGGAGCTCTCGTTACTTGTCCCAGCTTCTGCCAACTTAGCAGTTCGAAACATAATAATGCAAATAGAAAAATAGGAACCACCTTTGGTGGAAAAATAACAGTGTTCCGTGCGCCTTCAGCGTTTAGTCATGCTGGCCACATGACCATGGAGATGTCTTTGGAGAGCGCTGGCTCTTCGGCTTTGAAACGGAGATGAGCACCACCCACTAGAGTCGGGAACGACTAGCACATATGTGTGAGGGGGGGAACCAACCTTTGTCATCCGAGCTTTTTGGACTTTTATTGTCCTCTTCCTTTCCACTTTATGGACTGGGTATACAAACTTGTGAGCAGAGAATGAGAATCCATTTCTTGTGTGTACTTCTCTCATTTTTCTTCCTTGGACCTTTTAGGGGCAAGAATCCTTCCTTCAGATGGTCCCAAAATTTCCCACGGGGAGGAGTAATCCTTCAAGTCTCTTTCCAGAGCTTGGAGCCTCTGTAGATGATCAAAATTCTGACATCTTTCTAGGTAAGGGAGTGGTTTTCCAGACAGATTCCACTATCGCTTATCCTTTGCCGCTTTGTCTTCGGTGTTAATTAATTATATTTTGACAAATTCTTCCTTCATTTTTGCATTTCTGATAGGGAATGGAACTATATCATGGGCAGCTTTGGGATTATCTCCCTTGCTTGGTGGAATCAAGACACTGACAGAAGCTCCAACTCCGGTAGGAAGAGAAGCATCAAAGAAGTCAGAGGGGGGCCCTTGAAGACCTCCGGTGTCCTTCTGAGGATAAGCATATTTCTTTTCCAAGGAAATGAAACAATTTGGGTTAAAAACCAGTGACCAATTTAACGCACCTTTCAAGACTACTTTGGAGATGGACTTGGATTTTTAAAGTCTACACCAGTGATGGTGAACCTTTTCGTCACCAAGTGCCCAAACCAGAATGCGTGTGCATGTGTGTGCACCAGAATGCCGGAAACCCGAAGGCCAGCTGGCCAGCACGCACATGCCTATTTTTGGCCATTTTCCAGGCCATTTTTGGGGCGAAAACCAGCCTAAAAACAGCACAAAAACAGACTGGTTTTGGGACATTTTTGCGGACATTTTTGGGCTGTTTTTCCAGGCTGTTTTCAAGCTATCTTCTGGCGTTCTGGTGCCCAGAGAGACCAGCTGGGCAGCGCACATGTGCGTGCCGGAACCCAGAAGAGCAGCTGGTGATGGCATGCATGCCCACAGAGAGGGCTCTGCTTGGCACCTCTGGCACGCGTGCCATAGGTTTGCTATCGTGGGTCTACACCAGGGGTAGTCAACCTTTTTATACCTACCGCCCACTTTTGTATCTCTGCTAGTAGTAAAATTTTCTATCCGCCCACCGGTTCCACAGTCATGGTGCTTTATAAAATAGGGAAGTAACTTTACTTTATAAAAATTATAAAACAGCCCTATGAAGCGGTATATAAGTCTAACTGCTAAGTCTAACTGCTATAAAACAGAGTTACAGCAAACCCCTACCGCCCACCACGAAAGCTGGAACGCCCACTAGTGGGCGGTAGGGACCAGGTTGACTACCACTGGTCTATACCATGGGTGTCAAACTTGCTGCGTCGACTTCGTTTTTCCCATTCACGGAGCTGAGCTGGGAATGGCCTGTACGTGATATATCCGGCCCATGGCTCGCCAGTTTGACAATCGAGATCTACACCAATATTTCTCAACCTTAGCAACTTTAAGACATGTGGACCTCAACTCCCAAAATTCCCCAGCCAGCTTTGCAGCTTTGCTAGCTGGCTGGGGAATTCTGGGAATCGAAATCCAGATGTCTTAAATTTACTAAAGTTGAAAAACACTAGTCTACACTGAGAGATCTTTGACAATTCCACCACCACCACCCAAAAATATTCAGAACTTTTCACTTCTTGTGTGGTAGTTTACTTCAAATTTAATTTGACTGAGATGTTTTCTTTCTTTTGTGTTTCAGAATTACATAATTTTATAACTCCTAATGGGAGAATGTAAAAAATTCTCCCGTTAGGAGTTATAAAATTATGAATTTGGAAAAAGCCTCACCCTCCCATTTGCTTTTGCCGCGTGATGGGCCCATTTTTCGCCCTCCCCAGAGGCTTTCTAGGAGCCTGGAGAGGACGAAAATGGCCTCCCACCGCCCGAGGCCCTTCGGAGGCTTCCCTGAAGGCTCCAGAGGGTGAAAAATGGCCCTACGGGCAACCCAGAAGTCTGTCCCCAAACTTCCGGATTGCCCATAGGACTGTTTTTTGCCTTCAGGAGGCTTTCCTGAAGCCTCCGGAGGGAGAAAAATGGCCCAACGGGCAAACCAGAAGTCCGTTCCTGAACATCCGGTTTGTGTGTTGGATTGTTGGGCAAAAAAAGGCTGGAAATGAAGGCTGAAGTCAGCTGGCCAGCGCGCGCATGTGCGCTGGAGCTGACAGAGCAACATCTTGCATGCCCTAACAAATGGCTCCGTGTGCCTCCGGTGGTACGTGTGTCATAGGTTTCCCATCACGGCCCTATAAAGTACTGTTTTGCTTTCTCTGAATAGTTTTCAAAGTTCTGCAGAATCAGTACAGATGATCAATACAGAATCACCCCAAATATTTCATCTGCCAATGGGCTGTCTTCTCAGCTAAAAGTTTAGGTCATTGAAACTTCCTGTTTTGGGAATTTACTAATTAAGGAGAGCATGCAAGTCTTTCCTAAGGTTCTCGGTTAACGTTGTTCCTTCAGGGTCGTGTGTCCTTTGAGGAAGTGGCGGTCTATTTCTCCAAGGAGGAGTGGTCTCAACTGGATTCTCACCAGAAAGCCCTACATGGGGAAGTGATGCTGGAGAATTCCAGGAACGTAGCTTCTCTGGGTAAGAACTTCTCCTGGACCATCAAATGTTTCGAGGAGACATTTTGTGGTGGAATATAACTTATTGATACCCAACCATACTTCATCTCTTCTGTGGGTGAAAGGGAACCTGTTCTAAGTAGAGTTAAACACTTCTATGTCACACTTGTCCTCTATTCAAAACCCAAGAAAGAAAACTCCAACTCCATTGAGATTGAGAAGAGGTACTTTTACCGAGTTTGAAGTGATAGTAGCGAAAGCAAGGCAGGATCTGATTCAAAACGCCTGAAAGTTACAGATAGAAAGTTTTCCCAAATCCCCCCCCCTTCGGGTCCAGCACGGAAGGTCCAATCAATGTTCAGTATGATGTTATGGGAAGCTCATCTTCAATTGGGGTCCACATTTTACTGTCCTCAGAAAGATTGAAGGCTGAGTCAACCTTGAGCCGGTGAGGATCGAACTCTTGGCAGTGAGCTGAATTAGTTTGCTAATAGTAAAAGCTTGTTTCCCTTCATTTTTTAAAATCCTACTGACCCTTGCTCAGTTTGATAAGAAAAATTAGTAAATTGAAGTATTGGCCACAAATAAGTTCCTTTATTTCAGAATTATTTCAAGTTTCCTTCTTCTCCTAATGTCAGCATTCCAAATAGCATCCAAAATAAATCAGAGTCCAAGGCAAAGTATTGCTCAAAGTTCCAATTTATTAAGAGAGCCATGTTGGCACATCTGAGAAAACCCAAATCTGAAAGCTTCCCAGTTTCCCCCACATAGTTGAAAGTTCAAGATCTTGCCCCCACACCCACAAATCCATCAAATGGTCCAATCTCTCACTGCCATGATGGCAGTTCCACCCATCCAATTCCGGTCAGTTGCAGAGGTGCAGAGACAAAGGATGACCTTGGCTTTCTAGAAATAATTTTGCTATGGCTATATAGTATGTAACTCCTTACAATCCCCCCTCCCATTTTCCCACAATAGAAAATGTATAGTAGAGTAATAGAAAGTGTGGGAGGCCAAAGATCCATGTCAGCGTTCCAAATATCATGCAGAATTAAATCAGAGTCAAAGGCCAATCTATGCTTAAAGTTCCAATTTAATAAGGCAGGCATGTTGGCATCGTGCTGTGGGATTCCAACTCTGGAAGTTACATCAGAATCCCACCCAGTTAAAAGTTCATGATCTTGTCCCCACACCCACAGTCCATCACATGGTTCAATCTTCTTCTTCCATGCTAGCACCTACGCCCAACTGCTTCCGATCAGGTGCAAAGGTTTGGGAGACAAAAGATGACTGAGCTTCTAGGAAGGAATTTTTTATTTTGAAAACAACACATTCTACCCCTTGCTAAATCCCCCCCCCCTTAATAAGAGTGTGGCAGGCCAAAGATTCTTAAAGGAACCACTGCAGGCCTGACAATCCAATCCAAAAGAAAAGATGGCTGCAGACTGACACCTGAAATAGAAACCATATGATGTGGTTTTTATTCATACAGGTTTGGTTATAGCCTCCATCAGAAATCCATATTTGCTCAGTCTTTGCTCAGGTTATCTTACATTAATCAACACTGTAACTTTTCAAAAACCCAGATAATCCATCAAATTTCAGCAAACAGGTCATAACCACAACCTTACTTTGGTTTTATTTCCTTTCCACATTCTTGCCTAATTCTACTTCTTTATTTTCCTCTCAAGGAAGTGATGGCCAGTGTGAAATGATTCAGGACGGAGAAGGGAAACAGGAGTTTAGAAATTGGACACAGTCCAGAATTCCTGAGAAGAACAAGTCAATACCTAGGAATAAGAAACCAACATCCAAGTGTGTGCAGAATGAAAATATTCTTGCCCACCAAAATCCCAAAGGAAAAATAAGGACAAAAGGTTTAGGGAAAAGTGTAAAAGTACCAAAAGACCATTTAAATTTGGATATGCGCAACAGAACCAACGTTAGAAGAAACCAAAATGGGTGCAGGGAGAATGAAAACAGTTTGAGCTGGAGAGTCAAAATGGGAGAGAAGCCATATAAATGCATGGAGTGTGGAAAAACTTTCAGCAGTAGCAGTTCCCTCACATGTCACAAAAGAATCCACACAGGGGAGAAACCCTATAAATGTACTGAGTGTGGAAAGAGCTTCAGGTGGAGCAATCAACTGACTTCCCATAAAATGATCCATTTGGGTGTGATACCCTATAAATACACCGAGTGCAGAAAAAGCTTCCAGGAAAACGGATCCCTTACTTCACACAAGAGAATCCACACAGGGGAGAAGCCGTATAAATGCACAGAATGTGGGAAAATATTTCGGAAAAGGAGTTCACTTACTCCCCACCAAAGGATCCACACAGGAGAAAAACCCTACAAATGTACAGACTGCGGAAAGAGCTTCAGTCAAAACAGTAACCTTATTTCACATAAAAGGAGCCATTCAGGGGAAAAACCCTATAAATGTATGGAATGTGGGAAGAGTTTCATGTGGAACGGTCAGCTTACATCACATAAAAGCGTCCATACAGGGGAAAAACCCTATAAATGTGTAGATTGCGGGAAAAGCTTCAACAACAGCAGTCACCTGACTTCCCATAAAAGAATCCACTTAGGGGAGAAACCATATAAATGTCTGGAGTGTGGAAAGAGCTTCCGTGAAAATGGGTCTCTGACTTCACACAAAAGGATCCACATAGAAGAAAAACCATATCAATGTGTGGAATGTGGGAAAATATTTCAAAGGAAAGGTTCCTTTATTTCTCATAAATGTACCCGTACCGAAGAGAAACCCTATAGATGTCTGGACTGCGGGGAAATATTCCGAAAAAGCAGCTTCCTTATTTCCCATAAAAGAATCCACACAGGGGAGAAGCCGTATAAATGCACAGAATGTGGGAAAATATTTCGGAAAAGCAGTTCACTTACTTCCCACCAAAGGATCCACACAGGGGAAAAACCCTACAAATGTACAGACTGCGGAAAGAGCTTTAGTCAAAACAGTAACCTTATTTCACATAAAAGGAGCCATTCAGGGGAAAAACCCTATAAATGTATGGAATGTGAGAAGAGTTTCATGTGGAACAGTCAGCTTACATCACATAAAAGCATCCATACAGGGGGAAAACCCTATAAATGTGTAGATTGCGGGAAAAGCTTCAACAACAGCAGTCACCTGACTTCCCATAAAAGAATCCACTCAGGGGAGAAATCATATAAATGTCTGGAGTGTGGAAAGAGCTTCCGTGAAAATGGGTCTCTGACTTCCCATAAAAGGATCCACATAGAAGAAAAACCATGTCAATGTGTGGAATGTGGGAAAATATTTCAAAAGAAAAGTTCCTTTATTTCTCATAAATGTACCCGTACCAAAGAGAAATCATATAAATGTCTGGAATGTGGAAAGAGCTTCCGTGAAAATGGATCTCTGACTTCCCATAAAAGGATCCACTCGGGCAAGAAGCCCTATAAATGCACGGAGTGTGGGAAATGCTTCTGGAGGAGCAGTTCCCTTTGTTCGCACAGAAGAATCCACACAGGAGAAAAGCCTTACAAATGCACCGACTGTGGAAAAAGCTTCTGTGAAAATGGATTGCTTACATCCCATAAAAGGATTCACACAGGGGAGAAACCTTACAAGTGCCCAGAGTGTGGAAAGAGATTCAATACAAGCAGTAATCTTTCCTCCCATAGAAGGATCCATTCTGAGGAGAAACAATATAAATGTGTGGAGTGTGGAAAGAGCTTTACTCAGAGTGCTTGCCTTATTTCTCACAAAATAATCCACAGGGGGGAAAAACCATATAAATGTGTGGAGTGTGGAAAAAGTTTCAGATGGAGCAGTCACCTTACTTCCCATAAAAGGATCCACACAGGGGAGAAGCCCTACAAGTGCCGGGAATGTGGGAAAATATTCCGGATAAGCAGTTCCCTAACTTCCCACAAACGGCTCCATACTGAGGAGAAACCATATAAATGCAGGGATTGTGGAAAGAGCTTCCGAGAAAACGGGTCCCTCACTGTTCATAAAAGGATCCACACAGGGGATAAACCATATAAATGCGCCAAGTGTGGGAAAAGCTTCCGAAAGAGCAGTAACCTTACATCCCACGTAAGGATCCACTCAGGTGAGAATCCATAAAAATACTAAATTCACAATATTTCTTCCATGTGCATTTGAACTATGGAATTACATTTTCCCTGAGTATCTATGGAGAAAAGGCAACTGAACTTTCTTTGTATTTCCTTGAAAACTTATTTTGCTTCTCATCCAAGAATCTTTACCAGTTCAGAACCGATAAAGTTTCTTGGACGAGAAGCAAAATGTCTTCAAGAAAAAACAAACTCCAATTGTCTTTTGAAAAAAAGCAACTTTGGGATTGATCCCGAGTGCCAAATTTTTTCTACCTTAATCCCTTCCTAAAATTTGATCAATTTTTCCTTTGTTTATTGCAGGCGTGTGAAACTCAAGGCCCAGGGGCCGGATCCAGCCCATGGGACTGCCCTGGAAACATTGAAGGACTGGCCTCTGCCAGCAAAACGGAGCTTGTGAGGGCTGTGGGTGGCCCTCCCAAGCTCCATTTCCACTGGCAGACGGTTGGGTGGCCCTCCCAAGCTCCATTTCCGCTGGCAGAGGGTTGCGGGAGGCTGTCACAGGCGAAAACAGAGCTCGGGAACCCATTTTTGCTGGCAGAGTGCTGAGGCCACCACAGGCGCCCCGACATGAGTGATGTTGAACTGACCATACCCTCCTGGCTACGCCCCCCCAGATCAAACACAACTCTGATGCAGCCCTCAATGAAATCAACTTTGACACCCCTGGACTATTGTGTTTTTGCTTTTTTTGCCATCTCTTTTCTTACTACTAGTTCTTAATCGAGCCACGTTCCTCTGTGCTGGGAAAAGGAGGAAATCGCCTTCCATTGCTAATAATTAAAATAGAGGTTTAGTTTGGTGGGTTTGGGCCTGTAACGTCCAATAATTTCCTCTTTTTTTTTGTCCCAATCAGGGGATCCCGAGGAAAATGAACCTGATCAGGAGGCTGTTGTGCCGACATCACAAACGCTCAAGAATGAACTGAGAAAAGAGACACTGGGAAAATCAGTGAGGACCCTGAAGTAAAATTAGGAGAACGTCAAGAAAGTGTAGAAGAAATCCTTTGAGGTCTTTTTCTAACATGCTACAGTCCTGGAATCCTGAATGGCAGACAGAATTAAGAATGGAGAATCACAATTGCTCAGTACATCATCATAGCACCAGTGAAGGAGAATAGTTATACTGTAAATGTAATAGCATTGATGATGTTACCTAGTTTGGGTAATGAAATATCTGGTTTGGTGGTTTTGGTGGTTTCATTCAACTTGTATGCCGCCCTATTCCCGAGGGACTCAGGGCGGCTAACAAAACCGGAAGGGAAGGGAAAACAAAAACAAACAACAATACAGAACCAATTTAAAAGGTATCAACAAGCACACCAGTTCGAGTGGGGATGGAACTCAGCGTCCCCAGGCTTGCTGGAACAGCCAGGTCTTGACGTCTATACGGAAAGCCTGAAGGGTGGTGAGGGTCCGCAAGAAAACAAGCAAGCTCAGTGAGCGTCAAGGACCCTTCACATGATCATAGAGTTATATAGTTATCATATTGTTAGTTATGAAGCTGTGGACAATGTTCCTCCAAGCCTTCCTGTCCTCTACCATTCCCCGGAGTCCATTTAAGGTCACATCTACTGCTTCGGTGACTCCATCCAACCACCTCATTCTCTGCCGTCCCCTTCTTTTGCCCTCCATTTTTGGTTCCAGAAGTTTTCAGGGAGGCCCGTTACCACACAAATGGGATCTGCGTGCGCATGTGCAGGGGTGGGGCCTGCAGGTGGGGCATTGGATTATGTGTGTTGACACAAGTGTGCATGCTTTTGGCATCTGACAGAAAAAAGGTAGAACATCCTGCACCCCGGGGTGAGATCTTCCCCTATCCTGTCTTCTCTTAAGAAACTGAAGACATGGCACTACTGGTGGGCTTGGGGACCTAACGGCAGAGTAACCACACTGGAGGTGGCTTTTGGACTAATAGTTGATCCCACCTGTCTCCCATGCAACCTGGCTATCTCTCCATCCATCTTTTAATTAGTATTGCTGTACTTTCCTTATTTACTTTTATTGTTTTACTGTTGCTATATTTACATTTTTACAATAATTTTACATTCTACTATTGTAAGCCACCGAAAGTAGCCTCAAGGCAAGATGAGCGGTACGTTTTGTAATAAATAAATAAATAAAT